GAGGAGAGATGTGGTCAGTGTGCATGCTCACAGGGAGGGAGCTACTGATCAGCCCACATGCGCACACATGGACACAGACCAGCCCACATGCGCACACATGGACACGGACCAGCCCACAGGCGCACACATGGAAACGGACCAGCCCACAGGCGCACACATGGACATGGACCAGCCCACATGCGCACACATGGACACGGACCAGCCCACAGGCACATAGACACGGACCAGCCTACATGCACACACATGGACAGGACCAGCCCACAGGTGCACACATGGACAGGACCAGCCCACATGGGCACACATGGACACGGACCAGCCCACATGCGCACACATGGACACGGACCAGCCCACAGGCACATAGACACGGACCAGCCTACATGCACACACATGGACAGGACCAGCCCACAGGTGCACACATGGACAGGACCAGCCCACATGCGCACACATGGACACAGACCAGCCCACATGTGCACACACAGACACGGACCAGCCCACATGCACACACATAGACACAGACCAGCCCACAGGCGCACACATGGACACGGACCAGCCCACAGGCGCACACATGGACACGGACCAGCCCACAGGCGCACACATGGACACGGACCAGCCCACATGCGCACATGTTTCCTGGGCTTTTCTCTTCTTAGCTCGTGGGGGCTCCCTCCTTCCCCAACCACAAATAGTACTTTGAACCTAGCAGGGTGGTCCATGTCCATATCCAGAATTTTGGAGGTAGAGACAGTATATCAGTTCATGCCAATCTGGGCAACATAAAACTGTCTCAAAGGAAAAAACGGGAGTCACACTTTGACTTTAAATTTTTGCTTTAGGTGGATTCAGTTCCCAGTACCTACATGGGGGGGGGGCGGTCACAACCATCTGTAACTCTAGTTCCAAGGGATCCAACACTCTTTTCTAAGCCCCATGGGCACCAGACATACATATGGTACACAGACATACATGCATACATGCAAGCAAAACACTCTTACACATAAATAAAATAAATAATAAATCTTTTTAATTTATAGCTACAGTGCAGGACTTGCTGGTGAACGTGACCGAAGAAGAACAGCTCTGTGGAAGTCCACCTAAATGAATTCCCCCGTTACCTGTCTAAACACACGAGTGACCCACAGCCACAGGTGATGAGCCATTCTTCAGACACCGTATTTTCACACTCATTGAACTGGTAAACGCCCCCACTTCTTTGAGACACAGATCTCCTGGTGGCCTGGGGACTTAAATTTGGTCCTGCATAGGACTCCAACACAGGTTCCTTGCTCTGCTGCTTGGCAAAACGAATGTGATGACCTGGCCATGGTGAACTTCTGCCCACTATCCCCGATGACTTCCTAAATGCTCCTCACATGCCTGCCTGCAACCCTGACAGAGTCATCCTAACATCAAATACATGAGCTTCACATGGAAAAGTTGTTTTCAAGGGCCCTTGGAGCAACCCATGCAAGCAACGAGCTACACATACCATTACCCTATCCCAATATTTATGTTAAATTAAATTCCAAGATGTAAAAGCAGAGTCATAAAAAAGGAGTAAGAGAATTTTCATAACAGATTTGACAATAGATTCTTAGACATGATCCAGGAAGTACCAACAACAAGAGAAAACAAATGAGTTACTCAAAACCAAACGATATATATCTGGCAAGGCCTGGTATTCAGAACACACATGTACAAGTCTGTGGTATAGGTCAGTGGTGAGAGCTTGCCTACTGTGTAAGGCCCTGGGTTTAACTTCATCATCACAAAACAAAACAGAATATAAACATTAAAAAAAAAAAAACCCTTACAACTCAATAGCAAAAGACAACCAACCCAATTTAAAAATGGGCCAAGACTTGTGAGTCATTTCTTCAAAGAAGATATGTAAACAGTCACTAAGCACGGAGAAGGGTTTAATTTTGTTAAACTAGAAAGAAACTCAGATCAAAGCCATACAGCTTGCCCACCAAGGTTTGGTTCCCAGCCCCACAGGGTGCCTCACAAACATTCTAACACTAGTTCCAGAGGACCAGATGCCTTCTTTTGACCTCTGAGAGCATCAGGCACAAATGTGGTGCACACACATCTATACAGGCAAAGCATTCATATGCATACAATAAAATTTTAAAAATATAACATTAAAAACTGGGAGGCAGAGGCAGGCAGATCTCTGTGAGTTCAAGGACAGCCTGGTCTACAGAGTGAGTTCCAGGACAGGCTCCAAAGAAAAACAGAGAAACCCTGCCTCCAAAAACCAAAAACAAACAAAATGAAAATGCCAGGTAGTGGTGGCACACACCTTTAATCCCAGCACTCCGGAAGCAGAAACAGTCAGATCTCTGTGTGTTGAGGCCAACCTGTTCTAAAGAGTAAATTCTCGCCGGGCGGTGGTGGTGCACACCTTTAATCCCAGCACTCGGGAGGCAGAGACAGGCGGATCTCTGTGAGTTCAAG